TCATGGCTCTGACTTTGATTTTCACAAAGGGTAGGTAATTCGTTCTTTTCTGAATACAGAAAGACGCTAGATACATGCACAAATTTATACCAAACAAAGACACAGCTCCGCTCTTATACCTATACACGATGGATTGACAAATGAGGAAAATGAATGTACATTTTGTTTGCAAAATATTTAACTTATGAATTATGATGTTTGTTTGTAGACATCGTACCAGTATATGAATTTCCATAACACGAGGTGACAAACATACGGATACAAAAAGAAGAAAACAATTACACAATTTATAATATATACTTATGAAGGAACAGTAGTTGGTATATAGGCACTACCTACTACCTATGTCTCAATTATTATGTTCGTAGTATCCATAAATAAAGCATTCTATATATTTTATAAACCTATAATCAGTTTTAAATTTACAATCCCTGTATGTTTTGCTGTATTGGGGGTTGCATTGACTTATTACTTATAATGACTTAATTAATTTTGAAGGCTTGTTATTTTTATTTCTAATTTATACGAAGTTTTTTTAATATCGGAATATATATGACGTTTCAAATCAATAAACGACACATTTTGATATAATCGTATTCTATCTAAATATAGATTACTGTGTCACGGGTTTTTAAATTTACCTGTGTAAAAAGTGTATATGATTTCCGATAAAATGGCTCAGGCGGCGTCTAAAACATGCGAGATTTGCATAAGTGCCTCGGGATCGCAATACTGCTTAGAATGTGAGCAATACTTTTGTGAAAATTGTAAAACATTTCATAATAGGCAGAAAATATCAAAAACTCACCAGTTTCAGTCTGCATTAGACGTTATCCCGGAAGGTAAATCAAAATGTAAAGACCATAATGAAGACGTAAGTTTTGTGTGTAATACCTGTAACGTAGCAGTTTGCAGCAGTTGTGTGACAGGAAGTCACAAACGGCACGATTTCTCGAAGCTTCAAGACAGTATCTCACGGTTGAAAGCGACGAATGAACAGGAACTGCGTAGAAAGGTACAGGAGGCAACCAAAAACATGGAAAAGATGGAAGAAGGCCTATACATATTCGATGTGAAGGTGGAAGTAGTAGTTAAAGCTATCACAGAAAATGGTTCATAGATAAAGGCCATGGTTGATACACATATCGCACAGATGATTGCATCTGTCAAGGATCAATCCAGGATGGAAAGGGACAAATTGACAAAGATCATAGCAGATACTAGAATGGATTTGAAGGTGGGGAGCGACTTAAACAAGACGATGTATGAACTATACAAGACGCGAAACGATGAAAAATTGTTACAGTCTTTACAGAAGCTTACCGATGACATTGCAAAGCTGGCGATAGAGCCTATAACCGAGTCTCCCGACGTATTCTATACTGCTAAGTCCACAACTGATCATGACATCAAACACCTGTTTGGCACATTTAAGATAAGGTAAATCAATGAGGAAAACCTTAAAGTCGACTGCCTTTTGCAGTCGTAACACATGCTTTAATATGTTTACATTATTTTAATGTGACACTTAAACTTGCAGGGTTTTTCCGGTTCATACATTTCGATAATCAAAATTGTGTTTTTAAATATTAATGTATTTCTGAAATGAAGTTCATGGAAGACTCAGTGGAGACAATTTAATAAAACTAAAAATATGGTCATAAACAGTTGTTTTTTTTGTTGTTGTTTTTTTTTATGATTGATTAACACTGTACTATAGATAAAACAGATGTGGCTAATAACACGTTACATTTCAAATTGAAATAGCAATGCACTCAAGACACTTCGTAAAATTATGAAATAATTCATGAATACACTTTTTTAAACTGATACCGATAATTCTGTTTTCAGCGAGAAAATCCCGCACCCAGAGTTGGTCATCAACTGGCCCCTAAATAAAATTGTGTACTAGTTCAGTGAAAATGGACGTCACACTAAACTCCAAAACATATAAATGAACTAACATTTAAAAAAAAAAAACATACAAGACAAGGCCAGAGGTTCCTGATTTGGGACAGGCGCAGAAATAAGGCGGGGTTAAACTTTTTTGTGAGATCTCAACCCTCCCCCTATACCTGTAGCCAACGTAGAATAAAGAAACACATAGCAATACGCACATTAAAACTCAGTTCAAAAGAAGTCCGAATCCGATGTCAGAATAGGTAACAAAAGAACCTAAGCAAAATGACAATGATACATAAATGAACAAAGAACTACTAGCAGTTACTGACAAGCTAGCTCCAGACCTCAATTAAACTGATTGAAAGATTATGTCTTCATCATATGAAAATCAAATACAATCCCTCGCGTAAGGGGTTTAGTATCATACCATCATAAAATATATGAGAAGAACATAACCCGTATCATGCCAATAACTGGTTTTAGAATAAATGTGTTTAATTCCGATGCAAAGACCTTATGAGTGAATCAATATCAATACCAAAATATGCAATCCTTAATGACTTGACAACAGTATCGTAACTATAAATGCATTGTACTATTTTCACAGTGATGTACGTACAGGACAAACGGGGTACAGAGAGAAGGAATTACATAAACCAAACAGGTAGGGCAATATATTTATATTTTATAGTGTTAAGTGTACACGTATGACAATGTGAATCCTTCGTCAAACGTTTCAGAAATCACACCTTATCTTTGAGTATACCTTTATATTTATAATTAAAACATGTCGTCCATAGATGACTATGCTGACATGTGTATCCTATGTTGTGTTAATCAGTAAAACCACTTAACTGTTGACACTTTTAATAGTTATGTACTTATCTTCATTACATTGTTTCCAAGAATCAGTGTTTAAGCTGTATTTGCTTATTTTTTAAATAGATATTTCACCAACTCACATTTGGTTTTTTTAATATTTGTTTTGAACTTATTGATACTTTAGACTTTAAACATTCATCAAAATTCTCTGCACTATTAAGGCAAGTTGTGCATAGTATAAGCTGAGGAAACTATACTATTTTTTCCAACGACATTATCAAGTCATGTTGCCCAGTCTAAATTTTGCATGTGTAGTTTTTGGTTAACTGTTTGTCCTTTTGTCAATTTTAATATCTTTGCCATAGCGTTCCTTGTATGTCTTCGACGTATGAGTGTGAATGTCTTCTTTTAAAAAAATATTCTCGATTTACAAGATTATTTAAAATTGACAGTTGATGAATGAGCCAACGACTTCAGCAGTCAAATTCACAATCGACTGTTAATAAAGGGGTCAACGATTTTAGCAGTCACATTCACAATCGACTGATGATTAAGGGGTCAACGACTTTAGCAGTTTCAATTACCGTCGACTGCTGATGAAGGGGTCAACGACAGTCACATTCACGAATAGCCGAGGAAATTAGCAAAATTGTTCCGTTTTGTATATTATCATTAAATGAACTTAACATAACACTACCAGATTTTTCAAAATGTTTGATACAATCGTACAAAGCTTCTTCATTGAAATTACTAATGTGCAGAAGTATTAAACTGTTCTACGTATTGTTAAATCAAAAGACGCCATCGATTCATTTTTTGTTTGGCTGTAAGACAGACTGGGAAAGGGAGAGAAAAGTATGTGCAACGCAGAAATAGTTGTATAAGGATTTGGCATATAGATAAGAATGTCGGTAATTCAATGCTACCTTGTCTATACATTAGTTAGTGTAGATTCGGATACTATTTTGGTGATGTCATCAAGTTTTGTTTGAAAAAGACGACACATACCAATAGGATCATCAAGACTAAAATGTTGGAAGTAAATGACAACGTCGTGTCAAAAAAACAAGCAAATAACGTTACGACAAACATCACAAACAACCGATGATGAATTTTGGTGCTCTCGAAGGGTAAACAGTTCCTGCTCTACATGGACTTCATAGGTATTTTTTCTTAATTTAAAAAAATACATCTTCCTGATGCAAAGTGTGTCTCTCTGTCTGGGTGTGAATAGATGATAGGCTGGTTATTTTTAACTCGAGAATCATGGACTTGGTTAGTGCCTCATGTATATTCAAATGCCGTTCTTTTTACACAGTTAATATGTGTGCCAGTTAGTAAATACTAGCTCATTGTTTACATCGTCAACTTAAGAAGATTTTAATTTTAATTTAATCAAGTGTGTTGTTCATTATAGTGAAAACAAACAAGATATGAAACCAAAAGAGCAAGGGAGATACCTGTACAGATGCGACGGATGTGGGTAAGTTCCTTGATATTGTTACTATAAACGTCATGACGTAAAGATATATATTTATCTGTGCCATCAGTGATCTTAATGGAGTTGTAAAAGTTACTTGGATGCTGAACTTCCAAAATAACTTATAGGGAAAACAACGACAATTTTTATAAGGTCATAAAAATAATATACTCATATCTTGGTAAAACATTGTAGTTTTGTTTCGTTGAAAATCCTAGAACAACATTAAACAACTTAACCACGAACCTCAATAATGAACGACAAAAAGTACATACAATAATCATATTCAAACACTGTACTGTATCTTCAACGACACGACACGACATTTGCCTTCTTTCGACGATCATGTTTCAGATATTTAGAACGCTAAAAAGCCTTCTAATTGATAGCAAAATATTTAATGGAAGCATAATGAATAGCTCTCAATGCAGTGAATGCTTAACAAATTAGACATTTTATGTTTGTATTACATTTTAGATACTCAAGTTTACTGAGTCATTCATCACAAAACAGACATTAATTGTCGTAATGTACTTTTGGTGCAGAAAACGTGAAGCCGTTAATGTTTTCATAATAATGTTATCGTTGCCCATAAAGATTTTGAAAGGTTAACGCACAATACTATTAAACATGAGGCGAATAAAATGAAGTTAACTAAAAACGTTTTATTCGAAACCATTTTTTTGTTTCGGAAATGCTTACTAATCAAACGACTTAAAATCTATCCGTATGTTTGTTTAGAAAGCTGTCACGTATGCATGTGTAACAGACAACATTGTTCTCTTTTATATTTCAGAAAGGAAAAGAGAACTTACAAGTGAGTATTATCGACTTCAATTGCAAGTGACGAATATTCAAAACAGTCATCTAATACAGATTACTTTTTAACATATGTTATTCAATCGTTCGAATAATAGACACTTTGTACAAACAGATAGCATATTTCACTCTGACCATTACATATGTGCTAATACTCCAATATTAAAAAAAACGAGCTTGATGATATCAGCTGGATATGGTTAAAGATTACCATGCTACCGGTCATTCCGTTTGACTAGGTTTGTTTGTTTCCATCTCCTTTATTATCTAATTTCTACCAGCAACTAATAACTTAATCATGATTTCCAAGATAGCGGGTTAATGATAGCACAGATGACATTGAATTCAAATGATAATGTTGGTGACTTCTCTTAAATGGCTTTTCGGACGCGAACAAAGTTTGGTTGACACATTTTATATATTTGTATTCCATATAACTACGGATATGTTCCACTTGTCATAACAACAATCTTTCCTATTTTACCACAAAAGACTTACAATGGATATTTTCTATGACAAACACGACGGATGCTAGGTCTTAGTTTTCTTTGTATAGTTTTGTTATTGTTGTTTGTCCTTTTATCGTTTATTTTTTTGACATGGTGTTGTTTTTTTTTTTTTTTTTTGTTGGACTAAAGATTTTCCAGTGCCCCCTTGTATCTTGTTTAAAATGCATTTTAAACAAATGAACAATTAACATCTAGTATACTGGTATTGAACAAGAAAAAAAAAAGGGTCCCATCAGAACAAGTCGATATAAACCGCATATAGTACGTATTACAATTTGACTTTTCTACAGTCAACTTAATATAATTACTTTGAATATAGAAATAGTACTGTTCTACTCATATATAAATTCACTGTCGGACCGATGTTGTTTTTCATTAATTCGTCAACCTGTCTGCAATACATTTGGAAATACTTTATATGGCATTTTAAACAAAACGTATTGTTGTCTTGTTTGAAGCATAATCAATATTGAATATTAGCATGTGTCTAGACAAATGCTTTAGTACATGCATATCTTTCAAATCTTTCCTCTTAATCTGTATTTATATTTGAATTTTACATACAAGGAACAATCCAGGGACATAGTACACTTGTGAAGACCAAGTCTAACTAAACGTTATTTTATTTTATTTTATTCGGGATTGATCATGAGTTCAAAGTTAAGTTGTCCGTTCTTGTTTCTAAATATTTTGAGATTTTGTTTGCCACAAATTAAATTGCCAAAATGCGTTTTAAAACAAAAATGTTGTTTAAAATCTCTCGGCTGGTATTAATCAACAACAAAACAATCCTTGCTTTGTATATCAAGAAACAAACCAACATATTTAATGATGCCATCATAAAGTTCGTGTATCAAAGTAAAATTGTGAGATGTGTTGCACACATAAAAACCTGGTTTTACAAGTTGAATATTCATTGTATAACTGGCTATGGGGAATAGGTTTTCCCATTGTTAATAGCCATACAGCGACCTATAATTTTAACCACGTCGTTTGAATATATTTTTTATTGGCAATCATAATATTACATGTCCTTATTTGTATACCAAAGGGTGCTCGAGTATAAAACAGAGGAACATTATATAAGTGTCATTCCGATGTTTTGCTTAAATTTCACATGTCTTGGTATAAAACAGGAGAACGTTGCAGGATTTGCACCTCCTGCTATGTATGTTTAATCCAACTATCAGCACCTTAGGCATAGCTTTATTTTCAAAACCCTCCCAAAGACAATGGTGAAAAAAACATCTTGCAAAGTTTTTGATTTCACTTTCGAATATATTGATGATGTTTTGTAATTCAATAACCCACATTTCAACGATTGCGTACACCTCATACATTCCAGTGAACTTGAAATTTAGGATAATACAGAAGGAAGCAGATCTGTGTATATCTTGCCTTTTTTCAAAATTGACATAACCTAGAATCTATGACAAACGATTTCAACTTCCCATTTTTCAGCACTAACGTACTGATTTGACATTACATAACTTTACAGTTACAATCACGGATTGGTTGATCTAATCGACGGTTCTCAACTCACCTAGGACATATTTTGGTTTTCTTGGAGCTTCGTATATAAGAACAGTCGTCTGATCTTTAAATTTACCGATTGTGTTGAATACCCGATAGTGACGTTTTTACTAACAATGGATTCGCATTGCGAGTGATGCATGCATATCAGGAATCGTTTGTCCCATTGACGCACGCTGAGATAATGCGGTTCCCCAAGCTTTGTGTTTTGCTTGATTTGTCTCTCCTTATTCAATTAATGAGATTTGAGCACCAATCAAATACGTTTCCATTTATATGTTGTTTGCACTGAGTGATTTTGAAAGAGGAAATTACTAAAGAGATGTTTACTTTATTTTATCAAAATATATGAATTGTTCTAACTTAGTATCAAGCAATACTAACAACTATTAAACAAATGGACTTATCTAATCATTGAATGGACTAAATTATGTAAGCTTGTGTGCTATTGTAACGAAACTCCAGACTATCTTTTTGCACCTTTATTTGTACATCTAGCTTCAACAAGCATATCAAATCACATGTAACGACGATTTTAAATGACTTAAGTTCTCTAAAAACAGTTTACAACTATAAACTTCAGCATTCCTTATAGTTTTCCTTTACATATAATATCCTTTATGAGGTCTGTGTTGATACGATTAATATAACTGGACATATGCACTGCTTTAAAGTTCACAGCCAAAATCATTCAATGTGTTGATAACATCTTATGAATTGTATAAATTGATGTTTTTGAGATAATTATGTTTTGCATCGTGAAATCGTGAAAAGCTTTGCATATTTTTCCAGCTATTAAATCTCTTTTATTTTTCTGGAAGTAAGTGTTATTTACCAGACAGATAAGTATACTGTAATAAGTGCGTTAAACTTTCACTTCTTCGTACTATGAATATCAAAATTATTTATTTTGTAAAATATTTCCTTTCTCTGTTTCAACTGTACACGTATACCTTGCAACAAAATTATTTTCATTTACCTGTGTTTAAAGTAATTGCAAATGGCTGATAATTTTGTTCAAGCATATTATTTTTCTTAAATTGTTTAACATTTCACAGTGGTATAACATGTTACTTTTATTATTCTTCCCTTAGTTTAATTATGTAGCATTTACATTGTATCATAGATCAAATTTATTTGTTCAGTGTATGTTCACTGGTGTTAATATGTCTTTTGATTGAGTTAAGCCATTTCAATTGATATTTTATAGTTAGTCTTTCTATGTTGTGATGTTACACTATTGTTTCAGATAAGGGTGAAGGTTTGAACGTTTAAACCCGCTGCAATTGTTTGCACCTGTCCTAAGTCAGGAATCTAATATTCAGTAGTTGTCGGTTGTTGATGTGGTTCATAAGTGTTTCTCGTTTCTCGTTTTTTATATAGATTAGACCGTTGGTTTTCCCATTTGAATGGTTTTACACTAGTAATTTTTGGGGCCCTTTATAGCTTGCTGTTCGGTGTGAGCCAAGGCTCCGTGTTGAAGACCGTACGTTGGCCTATAATGGTTTACTTTTATAAATTGTGACTTGAATGGAGTGTTGTTTCATTGGCATGCATACCACATCTTCTTATATCTATACAATGTAGAATGAAAGCATGATACATAGGAAATTGATGTCTTATTTTAATTAATACCATCTAAAGTTTAAGATTATCTCTGTATTATGATTGTTTTTGTTGTATCTTATCTTTTCGTTGTAACAGACTTCTGAAATATTGAACGGTATTTTTATTTATACATTTAGCTTCAGAAAACATATTCTAAAAAAATGTCATATAAATTGTGATATGTCTTTATTCCCCCCAAAGTTTGATTATAAAATAATGAAGATCGACGATATGTTATAGTCTTCTGTAAAACAAATCTTAATATATATGTTTCTTTTAAGTAGCTGCCACATCCATGAAAACGCAGTTTCATCTACAAAAAATCATTAACACTTTAAAATAATAAATTGATCATATTTTTTAATTTATAAAGTGATGTTTCTTTATAATTAATTAGAATTGCATTTTTTTTTTTTTATTTTTCAGTCCATAGTAAGTGTTATGTACCAAACAGATAAGTATATTGTGAATTTTTTTTACACAAAATGACGAATGAAAGGATAATACACAGTAAATTTTGTATGTAGTGTTTATTGAAATTGTTAAAATATAAAGACGCAATTACATAGAAGTAGAAATAAAACCTGTTCGTTTTTTAAGACTGAAACTATTTTTTAGTCTTGACTCAAGGGCTAACGGTCCATGAAGAATCAAACCGTAGAACATCATCATATCATTACCGCATCTCAACTTTGGCCCTTTTCTGAACATTTGAAGGTCCCTACTGTGAGTTTGAGCCACATATATATAAAAATAACCTTACAAATGTCGTTTCATATAGGTTCATAGCAAATTATTCAGAACTATTGTTTTCCTTTTGACTAGTTTTCTAACTTCCATTAAAGAACTTTTGATAGTTTGTATTCAGGCATATTTCCATAATGCAATTAATTGTCTTTAAAATTGGTTGAATGTGAAATGTTTCAAACAAAATTGTGAATTATTTATTCACCGTAAAGCCTTTTATTTAGAGATACCAAAGTACAATACTTGCAGTTACTATTTTAGCGATCAATCAGTGGTCATCGATCAGTTACCGATCGGTCAAGTTCCCGTCAAACCAATCATGACCAATACGTCAGACTTATTGTAAAACTTTTTGACTGATCGGATGGATCGGACGGATATGACGGATTGACCTTTCTGGCGGATTGAACTCTACTACGTCACCTGTTGATCTCATACAAATTACGTGTCATTTAATTAAATGGCGCCACCGATAAATACGAATCGTTCAAGTACATAAGCTCGACATTTTTATTAATAATCATGCAGCAAAGTTTTAAGAATTAAAAGAAGAAAAATATGCAGATAAAACTTAATCTCATTATTATTAAAGAATTGTGATTGTC